GCACTTCTGAGCTCAGAAGTTGATAAAGAAAAAAATAATTCACACATTCAATAAAATGCTATTTTTTTCTTTTTGCTGTTACCTTGTTGAATTGTCACTGAAGATGCCACCTTGTATGTTTGGCAACTTATTTTAGATTTCACCATCATTTTATATATTTCTGTACAATAGATTTTCCTTTTCAAGAAATGGAAATATGAGTTCAAAACAGCACAAGCTTTCAGAACACATTAGATCTAGATTATATTTTCATTTACTACATTAATAATGAGTTGAGACATCATGCCAAATTTTTTTTTAATTTATGCAAAGACGACCCAGATTCTGTTGGTTTTTCTACATTGAAATGAAATGTTAGATTTTCAGGATGTAATTATGCTGGGTTTGGTTTTCTTTATCTAAACAAATACAACTGAATCCTCCTCCAAGTGGAACATTCTTCCCTCTCAGACATCATTGTTTCAGAGCTCTTTTTGTTTAAGTCTTTCATAAATCTTAAAGCCTCCCCTTTTGACACAACTGCTCCCTCCTTCATAATCACAGTAAATGGGATTTGTGGGAGCTGCATGGCATTTTCTAAGAATACCGTCTGCATTTGTGCAAATTAAACCTTTGTTTCTCTGAACAAACGATAACACAACAAATGTTGTCTCCATTCAGTGGAGCCTTGCAGGGGGCGATGAAGCTGTCTGTCAAAGAGGCCTTGTTGGCAATTTCACACAAAGCATTTGAGAATTTCATGCTTTAAAGGAAATGCTATAGATTTCATTTCAATACGATGCTCATATGGTTTAGGCTGACTTTTCATTTCCCCAGCAAACGCACAGCAGCAGTCTGTCAAACGCTGCGTGGGTTTGTCTCTTTTGTCTACATACCGACATTCTTCTTTGTGTCACATGTCTCCACAGTTCGCCGATCATATCTGCGTTAACTCTTGTTTCAGTTGATTCATGCTGCCAGTCTCCCTTCATTCCTGGGAAGCACTCATGTATGTCTCACCATTAAAGCACTAAATTAACCAGGTTATCTGCCCAAAAACCTCATATAGTTTCATCAGTGTGAACTTGTTTGTGAGCTCTTGGTGCATAAATACAAAATGAATCAGATTAAGATGCAGCTGACCCTGCATCAGCTAACTTTGCTGTTTGATGTTAGTAGCGCTCCCAGCTCAGCACACCCAATAAGTGGAGGCTATAGACGACTCGTGGTTGGTTGTGAGGCACACATGGGACTTGGCTTACTATGACTATAACTCTGTTGGAACCCAAATCAGATTATTCTTGCAGTCTGGCCCGACAATCTGTCTAAAGACATCCATCCCACTTCAGCACACGAGTCACTTAGCAGAGCGATTTATTGAGCTTGATCAAGTCCAACTTAAGCACAACAGCATCTCGTTATCAAGCCATTTAATTTCATCTTTAGTATTAGGTTAACAGAATAGCTACTTCTACTGAATGAGGTAATGATTTACATTGGAACAGTATTTTAAAGAGCACTGAGAAAACCATTTTTTAATTATTATTTTTGAAAACGATCAGGCACTCTGCAGGCTGGACTTGAAAATAGTCTTCTACCCCTATTTCCTGCATTAGCTTCTGATATAAATGGAAAAAAACTCAGTTCAGAAAAGCGTGACAGATCTACAACACACTGTCACTTAGCATTCATGGACTTACCCACCTGACTTGCGAGGCTGTTGTTGTTTAGTGTCCTGGAAAGAGCAGAGATTGTCTCGGCTAATAGAATCTAACCATTAGCATTAGCAACTCCACCGCACAGCAGAACTCCTTTAGGCTTGTGTTATTTGTGGAGATCAAACATCAACTTTGCAAAGCAAACAGAGTCAGTGGTAGAGTCATGTTGCTGTTATCCAATCAGAGGCAAGATGTCCAAATATCAGGAACTAAGACTCCAAGACTCCTGTCATCTAAAGCTACTTTCTCCTCCAGCTGACCTCTACATCCTCAAACAGGCAAATCTGAGATTTTTCCTCCAGAGAAAGACTTACAAGGCATTCCTTCCTACTAGAGACCACTGCCAAAGTAATAAAAATATGAGTGAAGTTGACCTTTATTGTAGTGGATATAGTGTTGAAGTTAAAATACAGCAGTAATTTTAATTTTAATCAAATAAAACTGTTGAATTTTAACCACTTTTAATCATTGAGTGGACAAATGTACCAACTGTTATTTGATAGTAAGTAATTTATTTCTAATATTTGTATCCACATCATGCCTATCCCTTTCAGGTAGAGTGTAATATTTCTCTAAAATTGTTAGTTAACACTTTACAATAAGGGCCCCTTTAATAAAGTTACTTAGTGTATTATTAAGCATTAATAAACTATTAAATAAAGTTTTAACAATTGCTTAGCCATATTGTGTAATGCATTACTAAGTTAGACACCCCCTGGCCCACTGTCCTAACCTTGAGGACACTTACGGCAATGTTAATAAAAGGAGCTTTATTGTAAAGTGCTACTTGCTGTTACCATTAACTATATGTGTTTTGCTTCACTGGTACTAAACTCATCAGAGTGACACGTATTGATATCCGAAAAGATTTTCCATCCCTTCTTTATTTCATTTGATTTAGGTTTGAAGCTTATAATGTAACTATAGTACCATGCTGATGTAACCACCCCCTTAATTTGTACAAAAAAATGTAGCTTTAGATTCACTTAGGCTTAAAAAATAATGTGATTGAGTACAGATGAAATTCTGCAGCTCACGTTGGGTTTTGGGTATTATTTCAATGCTGGATTGTTATAGTCATTTAGAAACACCACACAATTGTTTTACTCAAAATGCACTTTTGTTTTGAGTTGGAGAGAAACAAATGCAAGCTTTTGTACTTATAAAAATTAAATGGCAGGTTTTTTTATGTTGTTTATTTTTTCAGGCTTAAACATTTTCCATCCAATAAGCTGGAGATGAATGCATGGAGGAGTTTCTCTAGTCATGTCTGGACATTAGACCTCTGAGTCGTGCTATTTGATGAAGATGATACAACGCTGATCTAGTTATATAGCACTTAATGTGACCAGTGAAACTCAGGTCTGAATCAATTACGACACCAAGATTTCTAACCTGGGTCTTTGTCTCTATTCCTCTGCTGCCAAGTTGACCAATAACCTCCATCCTTTCCTTCTTATTTCCAAAGACAATAACCTCAGTATTCTTTTTGTTTAATTGGAGGACGTTTGACTGCATCCAGTCATCAACTTGCTCCAAACACTGACAGGGTGAGTCTAGGGGACCACAGTTACTAACTAGGTGATAGAGCTAGGTAGATCTGGGTGACATCTTCATAACTATGATAGGCAATGTTGTTATTGCATATGACCTGACCCAGGGGTAGCGTGTAGAGGTTGAAGAGCATTGGTCCAAGAATTGAGCCTTCCCTGCAAACAGTCAACGTCACATAGACATGCAGATCACGTCTATATTGAATCCGTCGGTCCATACCACGTCTGTAGGACGTCCAAACTAGGTTTCTGCACAGTGGGTTGGGGGGTCCCACATGTCATAGTGATCAGCTTTGATTTGTGATTTCTAATAGAAACAACATAAGCCCTGTCTTCGAGATGTGATCAGAACCAACTATGGACTGTGCCTGAAAGTCCCACCCAGTTTATGAGTCTATCAAGGAGGATGTTGTGGTCCACTTTATCAAAAGCTGCACTGGGATCGAGCCTCAAAACAAATTAGCTTCTAGAATAACAACAAGCTGTAGTTATGACTCTTTCAGCAGGTGGTTAATATATCATGTTTTTGTAAAAAATAAAAATTTGTATTTAAAAGATTAGGATTTTTAATAAAAGTATATTTATGTTCAACTACTTTTTGCTGCCTGAGTTCTCATTGGTTCATGGTTCCTCCAACAACACAACTGTAGCTTTTCCAAATTTCAACCACCCGCAGGACAGCTATGATATAATTTCTCACAATCAGTCGTTAAAAACAAACTCGTTAACTGCAGAGATTATGTCACTGTACAGCTTCCTGTGTAACGTTAGGCAATATTACTGTGCTGCGGTCAATCATTTCCTGTCATTGATTGCTTAGGCAATGCCAGGTCATTAATGCCTATAGTACGGTCATGCTGATTGTTGCATGAACATATTTTAGAAGCTTAAAACGCAGAACTATGTTTGTTGTAGTTGGTAGTTTGTAGTTTTTCTAACTAATACAAATGGAGCTACAACTAATTTGGTTTCTGAATGTTTTACTATACCTAATGGAGTGATGTGGACTTGGTTTTTCTGTTTCCTCTGGACCCGTATATCTGTTCCCCCATAATGGTTGTCAGCCAGCGTTAGCATCACGTTTGCAGTTCAGTAGCACAGTAATCCTATTGTTTCCTCTTTCTGGAGTGAGTACATATTGGCTGTAGAGAACTGCATCTCTCCTGCATCCACGCTGTTTTCTAAACTGGCCCAAATCTTTCACTCACTGCAGCTTTTTCTGCTGTCGCCTGCTACCACAGCCTGCAGCTCAGATCATTTTCAGGCTGATGAGTACGTAGCACCCTAAATGGCTAAACCAACAAGACTCGACCAACTGATTTTCATTTTAGATATTTGAAATAATTTAGTGTTTTTATGGCTTAAAGTTACTCAAAACATTTAGATGTAACGTGATTGTCAATAATACCAGAAAACAAACCGATTTCTGCACTCTGCAAAGATACAAGCTTGATCGTGTTTGGGACTCAGCTCCTGCTGCAGGTTATCTCTTCGTTTTGTGTTAGTGCTTCTAAAAATAACATTAGAAGCATCCATAACCTCATTAAAAATTTATTTTAACTGCATGTGGGGGAGGGATGAGATAAAAGTCACACCAGCACACGAGGAAACACATAAGAAATTAGATAATTAAAAACACAAAATCCAAACGTGTGTTGCAGTTTTAATCATCTTGTTTTGTCCCAGGAGAGAACTGCCACCATGAGCTGATTTTCCCCATTAACGGACCTTTTCCCTTTCCTCTTCACAGTCAATAAGCACAAACCATGGATCGAAACGACGTACCACGGTATTGTGACGGAAAATGATGACAAAGTTATTCTGGACCCTCCACTAATTGCACTGGACAAGGATGCTCCTTTACGCTATGCTGGTAAGATGGAAAATTCAAAGCTGCTGCTTCTTCACTTAATAATAATATAAAAAAGATCAAAAGACTGATTTTTAAATGACTTTCTGACACATTCAGAATAGTCTCTAAACATTAAAACTGTTTAACATGTACAAGAAGGAGAAGAAATGATCAACATTTATTTTTACTCCTGCAGACTGATTATCTGTTTGCTAATGAATTATTTATAAACCAAAGAGACAGACAGCTGTCTTTGGACATGGAAGTATAGCCTTCAATCTATTCTGAGCTTCAGGCTTTGAATCCACGAATGTATCATGGTTAATAAATGAAGGTCTCGCTCCCTGCAGCGTGTTTTAATATGTATAATTCTTAAATCTTCTCATTATACAGGTTAGATATGAGAAAACCCTTTGAAGAGGACAGGAACTCTAACATTTTACTTTGGATTTTTGATTAATGGATGAATAAGTTCTGGTAGCACACACGTGCGGCTCAAAGGCATTTTTATTTTTGATGTTTATGTCTTGCGTTTAATACCCAAGGACATCTGGCTGCCACATCCTCCAGATGGGCCCTTTTGACAACCAGATCAAAATACGTTTCAAGTTGTTGACTTTTACCTTCTTGATGGAGAGCCACAATTAATATGCTTTGTGTTCAAAGCAAACATTAGCTCTTGAGGTTTTTAATCACAACATCATTGACTTTGGCTGATGATTTCTTACCATTTCACCTCTGATTAGGCGCCATGTGGCTGTTTAAACCTCAGGATTGCTGTTAAACATTAACATCTATGGATCAACCCTTGAAAAAGATGCCAAATTAACTTTAAAATCACAAGAAATTCTTTTGGAAACCAGTCAGCGTTGCTGTTTTTAAGGTCTCAACAGAAAGCTCTGCGTGATGTTTGTTCTCCTTTCACAGTGAATTAGTGCTGAATACAAAGCTTGATATTCCCACTTTTTTTTATCTGGGGCTCCCTTTTTTTGATCAGCAGTGTTAGCGAATGAACTGTGAACTAGTTTTCTCTGGAGACAGAGCAAGCAGCCGGGCTTCACGTGGCAGCAGGGGTGATCTGCTCCATCATCAGCCCATCTGTGCCATCTATGAGGAGGGGTCAGTGTTAAGTCCAACCAGGGGCCATTCAGACCTGATCACAGGCATCAAAGTCAGAACTGGGAGAATAAATATTTGTGGTTAAAGACGAGCTGCTGATAGACTGTGTGTCCTTCTGTTATTAGTCAGACTGGACTGGAAGTGGTAGAAACCAACAAAACTAGCACGATGTTCATAGATGGCTGTGTCCCAACTCAGAGCAGGAACAGTTTCCCTCTTAAAGGGATGCTAAGCAGTTTTGGCTTGCTTTTAGCATGTTTGTTAATAAAAGTGAAAGTGAAATGTATCTCCTCACTGTGCGCTCGTCTTTTTAATGCTTTCTAACTGCTGAAATGTCTCCTCAGCCTTCATTAGTGTCTACAAGAGTGATTCATCACCAAATCAAACACAACAGCTGCGTTCATGATCTAAAACCTGCAGGAATCATGCTGGAAGCAGACTGCAGTGCCAGTTTAGCTTGTTAGCTCTACTTTATTAAGTCCAGCAGGACCGAACCGGCACTCTGAAGCTGCAAGTACGGTATTCTGGCCACAGAGGGTGGTGGGGGTCTGAGTGACATTTCATTAACCCAGTAAAAGGTCATTTTAGCACAGACTGGCTCAAAAAATGATTACAAATATGGAAACGTTGCAAAGTATGCCTTCAAAAACTGTCTGTATTAAAAATAATATGCACTTATTTTACCGTTCCTGTCATTTGAGTGAATATTAAAGATTGGTGGTTGACGTTTCTAATATTCAGCATCAGCGACGAAAAGGGCTGGTGTGGATCAAGATGAAACGTGGGATCCCTGCTGAGAGAGCTTTGGGACTAATGAAAAGCTCAGGAATTCTTAAATCTGTGGTGTGAACTGATCATTAAAGCGCTCATGACCACAGAGACCGTAACTCCTGCTGCGTGGCAGGCTTTAGGAGCAGCCTTTAATGTGAAATCCATCCATTAGCCGCGCCTGCTCGTCCTTCCTAATGTCAAATCTGTTCCTGACTGTTGAGAGGGTGAAAATTAAAATGACCACATCCGACCCTTCAGAGACTCAGGACACGAGTCTGCTGAGAACAACAGAACTGTCTGGAAAAGGGGATATTTTTGTTGTTGCTGAATGGTTGTTCTCAGTTTTTACCTCTCTTGAGAAAAGAAAAAATCTCTTGAGCTTTTCCAATGTTGCTTTTAAAAGTCTACAGCTTATGTTTGTCTGACTCTTCCTGAACATGTCTTCTTTGACCTTCTAACTCTTTTCCTTTTTGGGTTTATCTTCTCTTTCCTAATTGTAGAGAGTTTTGAGGTGACCCTCACCAAAGAAGGTGATAGTGGGCTTTTTCTTCTGCCTTGTGCTTATTTTTTATTATTATTATTTATTTGTTTATTTTTACTAATAACCCACTAACGCAAAAGCAGCATCCACACTTTTACACAGAAACCTCCTGCTATGCTCTGTAATTTCCCCATTTTGGTTTGTCTGAACCTTGTATTTTTCTCACCGTAAACGTTTGGTTCTTTTAGAGTACCAAAAGCTGGATGAAAAGTGTGATGTGGGGGCTGACTGTTCTTAGAAATATCTGTGCATGAGACATCCATTGCAGTTTGCAGACCCTAACAGTTGTTCAGCTGTCACCTGGAAAAAGAAGCAGCTCATAAACAGGAGTTTTCACTCACTTTGTTGCTCCATCGCATTCATTTAAAAATAAAAAACAAACAAACATGGAAATCCAAATCAGCCTTTTTCATGTTCAGAGATGAAGTCAAATCTAAAAGCCTGCACGAGATAAGTTCCTAATATTTAAAAGTGACTGTGTGTAGTTTCCTGGCACTAGGGGGCAGTACATACATTTGAGGGTAGTTTTGCACCATATCGACTGTCACTAGTTAAAAAATGCATTACCTGTGGAGCAGAAAGCATGCGTGACTCACACTTTGATGGTCCTTCAGTTAATCCCATCAAGAGAATGCAATGGCGATTCTAGTTCCTGGATTTGCTCGGATGATGTCAAACTACGGCAATACCAGTTGGCCAAAATGTATTGCATCTCTTTTTTGATTCTGTTCGGTTTTGGAAAGAGTTTTACAGCTTTGTTGTTAGATTCATGTTTCTTACCGTTAAATGCTTTCTTTTTAACTGTAATTGGTCAATTAAACACCTTGTAGTCTTTGTTTTGTAAAGAATGTGAAACTACATAAAACCAACATCAGACTGCCAGAAAGCACAACAAATTTGTAATGTATTTGAATAGTTAGCAGCCCTTTCTGTTTGTATGAATGTGGAAATCTTCTGTATATTTCGTTAGTTCCTATGTAAAAAAAATCTACTCACTCAAGAAAGTTCTTTACTATTAGCCCCATTTCATCAAAATCAGAGCTGCTCGGGGTGATGCTTTAGCTTTAATTTAACATTTTCTTTGGCAATATTTAACCATATTTCCCACAAAATGAAGTTTCTTTGTAAATACAGGACTGCAACTTCAAATTTGTCCAGACCGATCAAAATCTTCTGGGTCAACCTGCTAACGTAAATTTTATGAACGTGGTACCGTAACTTCCGTAAGTCGTACATCCAGCCAGTCATCTAGTGTGACATCATCGACAGGAGCAGGACCCCGACCCGGCTGACGTAGAAGGAAACATGGCGTCTAATATGGCATCCCCAGAGACTTAGACCCACACTCTATGATTTCTAAGGTTATATGTTACGAAGCTGCCAATATTTTTAAATGACTGGACATCATTTTATTACTTTTCAACATAATTTTGATGGATATTTCCATAGATTAATGGTAAAAAAACTACACATTGTCACTTTAAATTTCATAGTACGTGTAGGTGAAACTGCATCCTTAATTTAAATAAAAGGAAAGTATTCTTTGATTAATCTCTGCAGTAAGAGTGACTCCTGTTAACCTGTTTGTCTGAAATTGAAGTGCTCAAATGAGATTGCTGAGATTGTTAACTAATGCAAACTCTTCCTGCTATTGTTGCATCTTTGCCTCAGTAAATCCCTTGAGTTAGTTCTCCACCACTAATCGCTACCATTAGCATGGCTGCAGATGTCATTTGATGTGGATGTCAAGCAAGTTGATATTTCTAACCCCAGTTCTCATCCAGTGCCTTTTGTTGCTATAATGGTCCTTTACTGGTTCAGTTCTCTTTGATTTGAAGACTTAATAATTTTTAAGTGGTTTTGAACAATGACAGGCAGGCAAAATTACACAGGGAGACTTTCTTTATTTGTAAAAAACAAAAAACTATTATTATTAATATTTTTAATGGCTGAATTAGTTCAGCATGATCTTATCACAGTGCTCTCTAGTTTTTTGTTAAAATATAGTTTTTTTATCATACAGGTTGGAATTTAATAAGTCTGGCTATAAATCCTTTCCTCTGTGTACATTTTTGAGCTTGTTTTCATTATTTCCGTTCGTAATCTTCCAAGTACTCCTGTGAAATGCCTGTCCACATTTTTTTTCAGTTTCTGCCTGCATGACTGGATGCACTGGTTTCAAGTGGCTTGGAAAAATATAACGATACTAAATGTCCCACACCATTTCCGAAATACCCATATGAAAGTGCGTTTTGGCTTCTTCTACAGACTCCATGCACTTCAGCCTACAGCCCCCCAGATCTGTGGCTAACATTGATTTAATTTGCGTGGATGTGTTTGGTTTTAGTCAATCCAACTTAATTTTTGTTGTTTGAAATTAAATCGTTGCAGCTTTTGCTGGGGTGTTCTGAGCAAACTGTGTTTGAAATGTTCAGGTGAGATTTGTGGCTTCAGGATCCATGGACAGAATGTCCCCTTCGAGGCAGTGGTTCTGGACAAGTCCACAGGCGAGGGCGTTATCAGGGCCAAGGACAAGCTGGACTGTGAGCTACAGAAGGAGCACACCTTCACCATCCAGGCCTACGACTGTGGAGAAGGTCCTGATGGTGCCAACATGAAGAAGTCACACAAGTGAGTCTCATTACATCTAAATCCAAACATGTTTGTTTTGACTTTCTTACTTACATTAATATACAGATTCAGGAGGAGCAATGTGGTTTTCGTCCTGGCCGTGGAACACTGGACCAGCTCTATACCCTTAGGGGGATCCTGGAGGGTGCGTGGGAATTAGCCCAACCAGTCTACATGTGTTTTGTGGATTTGGAGAAGGCATTAGACCGCGTCCCTCGGGGGTCCCTGTGGGGGGTACTCCGGGAGTATGGGGTACCAGGCCCTCTGATTCAGGCTGTTAGGTCCCTGTATGACCGGTGTCAGAGCTTGGTCCGCATTGCCGGCAGTAAGTCGGGCTCGTTCCCAGTGAGAGTTGGACTCCGCCAAGGCTGCCTTTTGTCACCGATTCTGTTCATAACCTTTATGGACAGGATTTCTAGGCACAGCCAAGGTGTGGAGGGCATTCGTTTTGGTGGCCTGAGGATCAGGTCTCTGCTTTTTGCAGATGAGTGGTCCTGTTAGCTTCATCGGAACGTGATCTTCAGCTTTTGCTGGAGCAGTTCGCAGCCAAGTACAAAGCAGCTGGGATGAGATTCAGCTCCTCTAAATCTGAGACCATGGTCTTGATTCGGAAAAGGGTAGAATGCCTTCTCCGGGTCAGGGATGAGGTCCTGCCCCAAGTGGAGGAGTTTAAGTATCTCGGGGTCTTGTTCACGAGTGAGGGAAAGCTGGAGCTTGAGATCGATAGGTGGATTGGTGCTGCATTTGCAATGATGCAGGCGTTGTACCGGTCTGTCGTGGTGAAGAGAGAGCTGAGTCAGAAGGGGAAGCTCTCGATTTACCGGTAGATCTACGATCCTACCCTCACCTATGGTCATGAGCTTTGGGTAGGGACCGAAAGAACGAGATCGCAGATACAAGCGGCCGAAATGAGTTTTCTCCTAAGAGTGGCTGGGCTCTCCCTTAGAGATAGGGTGAGAAGCTCGATCATTCGGGAGGGGTTCAGAGTAGACCCGCTGCTCCTCCACATCGAGAGGAGCCAGTTGAGGTGGCTCTGGCATCGTGTCAGGATGCCTCCTGGACGCCTCCCTGGTGAGGTTTTCTGGGCACGTCCAACCAGGAGGAGACCTAAAGGTAGACGCGGGACACGGTGGAGGGACTACGTCTCTCACCTGGCTAGGTAACGCCTTGGGATTCCCCCGGAGGAGTTGGCCCAAGTGGCTGGGGAGAGGGAAGTCTGGGCCTCTTGCCTTAGGCTACTGCCCCCACGACCCAACTCCGGATAAGCTGATGAAAATCGATGGATGGATTAATATAATTACTTCCCTGGAACTGATCAAGAAAAATAATTAAATAACCTCTTTAATATTTAAGCATAATAATTCAGGATGCACTCATATTCATCACATGTGGTTCAGCAGATGATGGTTTTGAAAGCAGATTAAAGTAACCACAGGGTTGTGTAAATATAGAGACAAGTCTTTTTTTGTGTGTGAAATTAAAATAAATAAAATCTTTGTGCTCATTAGCGCAACTGTCAAGGGCATTCTGTTCCAACTGATCCATGTAATTATCTGTGCTCACGAGGACTTGTGTGGGTGTTTTCTCTCATCCATCACAGAATGGAAAGAGCTTTAATGAGCTACCTAATGGACATGCCAGCTAAAACAACTGAATGAAATGCAAAGCATTCATTTCATGTCATTCCTTGTTTGGGATTTCATTTGTCAGTAAACAGAACATTAAGAAACTAACATCTAACTGAGCGTTACATCGTTATGTTTTGGGTATTTTTGTGGTTATTTATACAAAATAAGATGTGTGACAATTTCTACTGTATGAAACTTTTGTCCAGAGTTACTATGTGGGGTCATGCAAGACAGAAAATACCTAAAGAGAATTTAATCATTCATTTTCAGGTATTTATTGAGATATTTGTTATCTGGTCTGGCCAGTGAGTTGCATGTGAAACCGAACAAAAATTAGTTAACAAATTCCTTCTTTTAATGTCCTTTTAAAATTTAACTGTTATCAACAATGCGTTGACTGATCTGACTGGTGCTGCACTCTTCTCAGGGCGACCGTCCACATCCAGGTCAACGACATCAACGAGTACTCGCCAGTGTTCAAGGAGAAAACCTACAAAGCCACTGTGATCGAGGGGAAGAAGTACGACAGCATCCTGAAAGTGGAGGCTGTGGATGCAGACTGCTCCTTCCAGTACAGCCAAATCTGCAACTACGAGATTGTGACCCCCGACGTCCCGTTCACTATTGACAAAGACGGTAAAGACAGTGTCCTTGTCTTTTTGTCTGTTTGTAGCCAGCCTGGATTGTATTGATGCGAAACACAACGTCTCATCGATTCCTGCAAGCATCAATGCCTCAAAGCTGTCATTTAGGATTCACATCAGGCAATGGCAACCTTCTGGAAATGTCACAAAAGCTGGCTGGTGATTCGTGATGGACTCTTGAGATTAGTAATAATCGGATCTTCATAAATGGAATATAATAAATATACCGGACTTCACGATACAGCTGATATGTTTTTATATAGAGAAATAACATAAACCGTGTGAATTATCTTTGTTTTTATGATGATTCTTGTTTCTTCAGGCTTCATCAAGAACACAGAGAAGCTGAGCTACGGAAAAGAGCACATGTACAAGCTGACCGTGACCGCCTACGACTGTGGAAAGAACCGAGCTTCTGAGGACGTGCTTGTGAAGATCAGCGTCAAGCCCACCTGCAAACCCAGCTGGCAAGGTATCAAAGCTTCGTATCGTTACTCACTAACCTCTTTAAATGGGTCTGTGTTCAACAAGAGGGACTCATTGTTAAAAGGATTGTAAAACTCCTTTTAACCTTAAGTCTTTTGCCACTATTGAAATAATTTACATCTGTTTAAACCATTAACTACTAAATTACCAAGTCCTGTATCCTGGCTCATAAAAAACAAATACTTTTATTCTCCTCCTTCTTTCTTGTTTTTTTTAGGCTTCAATAAACGTATTGAGTATGAGCCTGGTACAGGTAGCCTGGCCCTGTTTTCCAGCATGCACTTGGAGACATGTGACATGCCCGTCACCTCCATTCGGGCCAGTATTGAACTGGAGACCAACCACATCGGGAAGGGCTGCGACCGCGATACCTACTCTGAAAAGTCGTTGCACAAGTTGTGTGGTAAATAACACACTTCTGTAAACAAATGACATCGAACTGATTTACTGTGCTGAATGATCGCCTTGGTTCTTCAGGAGCCAGCTCTGGTACCATGGAGCTCCTGCCGACACCAAGCAGCTCTGCCAACTGGACTGTAGGACTGCCCACGGACAACGGGCACGACAGCGACCAGGTGTTTGAGTTCAACGGGACCCAGGCCATCAAGGTTCCTGACGGTGTGGTGAACACCAACATGAAGGAGCCTTTCACCATTTCTGTGTGGATGAGGCACGGCCCCGGGGCCCACGAGAAGGAGACCATCCTCTGTAACTCTGACAAAACAGGTGAACACTCTCGAGATGGGTCATCCTGTTGGACGTAAGCATGAAAATTTGTGATTAACTTGTAGGATTTATAATAATCAGCAAATAATTTCAGAGCATATTCAGACATAAGGTACAAAATGAAACTTGAATCGATATGAAAGAACCTGGTGTCTACTGAAGAGGTCAGACCTGTTCCTGCATCTGAAAATCCCCACGTTTAAAATAACTATAGTAACTCAGACCGAGGCTATAATAAGCTGTTGAGCTCAGCTGGATGCCTAACACACACAAACACACTTCCTTGTTTCTTTTCTTCTTCAAATCTTCTGATTACTCACTGACCGCTCATCTTTGAATGTGTTTTTTTGTTTTTCAATTCAGCCACACTTCTTGATCTTATTCACTGTAAGTGTGTGGCGTGCCGAGAGAGTCGGCGTCTGTTCACCAGCCTCAGAGCTGCTGCTTATATAAGAGGGATTACATCAGAGCGGCTGTGCCCTGGACAGGATGCTCCCTAACCCATGATCTCATCACACCGTTCATGACCTCCGTTTAACACAGAGTCTACGTCACATGACCACCACTTCTACCCTTTCGTGTTCTGCACAGTCACAGATTAAAACGAAAACTAAAAATGCATGAAGGAATTGAGTAAATGAGCAAGTGCTAAGTCATAAAGCGACTTGTGTTTCTTAGGAATTGAGGACATAGTTTGGGATGATTAAATATATATTCTCATATTAAAGGTGGAATATGCAACTGAGAAGGATAACCACATCTTCTGGGCTCAGAAGCAGCTGTTTGACTTACAGAGTCCACCATTTTCCACAGTGCCGGCAATGGTACCCCCTATTGGCTAGTAAATGTAAACATTGTGCCCGTCAAAAAAAAATTAAAAAAAAAATATATATATATATATATATGTGTGTGTGTGTGTGTTTTTACAGTTTAGTAACAGATTGACTCCTTTTCGGACCTTAAAGTGGTTGCTCTTGGAAAAAGCCGTTGATCCCAGGTATATTTTAAAAACTATAATTTTAAGGTTCAACCCCCTTTCTCCAGGCTCAGAAAACAGTTTAACACCAGAAGCAACAGCAAACAACCATAAAAACATGACGTTATCTTACAATTTCCACCCGTTGTCGGCGCCTTTTCTGCCGTAGTTCCTAATATGACACACCTACCGAACAATATAACAACTTACTAGTATGCCAGCCTTTTTATGGTAAGGCCAGTTTAGTTTTCTTATTTTATTTATAAATTCAAAATCACAGCAGCTCAGTGCCGCCAACAATCTGGGAGAGCTGCAAGAGCAACAGGTCAAAACTTCCAACAAGCTGCTCCCAACCGAACCATCTCCCACTCGCTTCGCTTTCTCCTCTCGGACTGCTTCTCACAACCGCACGTGCGCTCCAGCCAACACAATCACAGCAGAATTCCCTCTGTGTGCTTTAAGATAACTTTTTGAATGTCATAAGTCTTTTAGACTTCCTATCCGCTCTGATAATTGTTGACATTTCAGTCCATGCCTCCTCTTTTTTTGGTATTGTCTTAGTAAAGTCAGCATGGTTACATGTTTTCTATGTCGGTTTTCTCCTGGCAGATATGAACAGACACCACTACTCGCTCTACGTTCACAACTGCAGGCTGATCTTCCTCCTGCGCCAGGATCCGGCTGAGGCTGAGAACTACAAACCAGCAGAGTTTCACTGGAAACTCGACCAGGTCAGCTTCTCCCGACACCAAACTGTGAATGTTCCCAGGATGACCCTTGACTTCCATTTACTGGCTGTTGGTCTTTTTCAGGTGTGTGACAAAGAGTGGCATCACTATGTGCTCAACGTGGAGTTCCCCACTGTTTCCCTGTTTGTGGATGGATCCACGTTTGAGCCCTTCATGGTCACGGAGGACTACCCACTGCACGCCTCTAAGATCGAAACTCAGCTCACAATTGGTGCCTGCTGGCAAGGTAGACCTAGTCGCTGTTTAATTTACCTCCCTGCATGATCACATGTAATTACTCTTACAATCGTATGCATATTTTATCATAAAAACTTTATAGTTATTTTTATGTGGATGATTCTCTGTTTCTTATAAATAAATAAAAACTCTCTCAGGATGCTTTATTTTCAGTCTTTATTGGGTTTTTAAATGATGACTATTTTATGCAGCTTCTGAATCTATCCTGTAGATCCTCAACCTTCCTTCCTGTCTCTCCCTGCTCTCTCGTTTCCGTCCTTTACAGAAAACTCAGGACATGACAATGACACTGAAACAGTCCCTGAGACCGCCTCAGGTTGCTTAAGTCTTTCTCTCACTCCTCAGATATGTCCGTGTGTCCACAGTGTCCCACCATGTTAACAGCTTACCTGCATCCTCATACCATTTTGACATTTTAAATGTGAAATATTTTGTTTTGTAATACTTTTTGGCATGGGAAGGTTTTTGTGGTACTTTGATGCAGATCGACTTGGTTATTTTTCGTGTTTTCTTCATCCTCCTGTTTTATTTGCCTCACACACCTCAGAAGCTTGGACATTTAACCTGATAACATCACAGAAAACGGAACAGAAATCTATTTTAAAAAGTCGGACTTGGCTGCAGCTTTTCATCCTCCCTGGCTTTTCTTTCAAAGTGTGACCTTGTGGCTCGAAACAGAAACTCCTACGTATCAGATAACAAACCCGAAGCAGCACACAGATGAAGCCTTCGACCTTCAGATGTAGAGTTTGACACTAACACTCACATAGATAGCCGTTCATACGTTCTCCAAATTACAAATTAAATCAGTTCCTTCTAAACATTTTTTATAAATGACAGATTTTTTTTTATTTCATTTTTGGGTTGATGCTGTGTCCTTTTCCAGGCAGCAGTTTGCATCATTATTTCACATATTTGCATGTACTGATGGCGTTCACAAGCTCATCCATCATCTGCCTGGCTCAGCTTCTGGGCCTCGGGCCTTTTAGGGAAACATATACTAACTTGCATGATCTTCATTCATGCCAGCTTGGCTCATTCAGAATGGCATGCTTCAATTTTCAACCTTATGATCTTTTGAGCACTTTCTTAAATCACTCATTTGTTTTTGTGTGGTGCCGTTCTGGCGAAACCAGGTGGAAGCGGCCGGATGGCTCAGTTCTTCAGAGGGAACCTCGCGGGGTTGATCATTCGCTCCGGCAAGCTGGAGAACAAGAAAGTGATCGACTGTTTGTACACCTGCAAAGAAGGGCTGGATGTGCAGCTGCCTGAGGAGGTAGCGTCAGCTGTCAAGGTGAGGGCAGCAGGAACTCCTGCGTTAGCTTCATCCATCGAGGATTGTTTGCTGAAAGGAAAACAAAAACAGGATATTTTTAAAAATCATCATGTGGTTTCTTCTCTCAGGTTGAGTTCAACCCTAACCAGTCTTCTCTGACTGTGGAAGGCGACGACATCGATGCACTTGATAAAGTCATGCAGCACATTTCTTACTTAAACTCCCGTCAGTTCCCGACTCCTGGCATCAGACACCTTCGCATCTCCACCTCCGTCAAGTAAGTATCGGTAGAAACATCCATCCGCTCCCTCGCTGGTTATCTCTGCAATTGTTTTCCCTATTAGGATATAATTTGGTTCTTATCAGCTTTTAAAATGTACATCAGTCGATTTTAGCAGCAAATAAACAAAAGTAATAATCTTGTTGGTCTTCTAAATGGTTATAAAGCAAGTTTGCTATTTTATGTTCTTTATCATTTTATATTTGATGCTGGATTTTAAATCCTCCCCAGATGTTTCAACGAGGACGCCTGTGTGATGGTGCCAGATGCTGAAGGTTACGTGATGGTGCTGCAGCCAGAGGAACCCAAGATCAGCCTGAGCGGCATCGACCACTTTGCTCGCAGCGCTGCCGAGTTCGAGAGCCAGGAGGGAGTGACTCTGTTCCCCGAGCTCCGTATTGTGAGCACCATCACCCGCGAAGTGGAGGCCGATGCTGAGTCTGAAGCTACAGACGGCGCAGACGACGATCCCACTGGTAGGAAGACGTTCACTTGAGACTTTAAGTAGAATCGACATGAATTTTTCACCATGATTCAGCTCGTGTCTTCTACTACGATGCTGAGTGGCCCTGCAGGAAGCGTTGAGAGCGAGGTAGATGTACATTGATAGTAACTGGTTGTGTTGAAGATTATGTCTTGAAGTGGGGGTGAGGGACACACAGAGAGAGGGAGGTAGACACAGATGAGATAAGATGTTTATTTCTGGACCAGCTGAGTCATCTGCTAGGCTTCCACCTGATTTAAGGAGAACTAGGACAATAGATGTGCTGGGACGCTGACACGGATACGGAGAGATGTCCTGTCCTGTTCAGACATATGGGACAGAAAGGGTTTAGAGAGATCAGTAGCTCCTGCCTGCTTTACCACGCCCCACCTCATCAAACGTCACACTAGATGAAAGAAAAACTTAATTAGCAGTATCTGGAGTACAAATAACGGACACTTTTGTATTAGTTTATTTTTAACTTTGAAACAATTGTTCCCTTGAGAATTTGACCTGTTTTCCTTTCAGTCCAAGAGACAGTCGTGTCAGAGGAGATCATGCACAATTTGGACACGTGTGAGGTGACCGTGATCGGAGACGAGCTGGATGGCGATCACGAGAGCCTGGAGGTGGACCAGTCCCAGCTGCAGCAGCGCGCCTTGGAGATGAGCTCGTCAAACCTGGGCCTCATCATCATCGGTACAATCAGCACTCATGCAGGAGTGATCTACAAATACATGTCTGTTTGTTCTTAAGGTGTAGAGATTTAAAGCAGAGAAGCCATAGGAACTTATCTGCATGATAAACTTACTTATGAGCTGACGGGTTTTTTTTATCCTCATGTGTCTCCCAGGTGTGAACACCATGGCCAACTACGAGCAGGTGCTGCACCTTATCCGCTACAAGAACTGGCACACCGAGGCTCTCTTTGACAGGAAATTCAAACTGGTCTGCTCCGAGCTCAACGGTCGCTACATCAGCAATGACTTCAAGGTCGAGGTATGACTCAGCCGTTCCATTGAGGCGCCACGTTAGCTTCTGGAGTGCTTGAGGTGGAAACCGTTTACATGAGAGGGTTCTGTTTCCCATTTCTCCAGGTGAATGTGATCCATACGGCTAATCCTGTAGAGCAGGCTAACGCCGCGGTGCAGCCCAACTTCATCAACCCTGTCCACCACGCCTCCGTGGATCTGACTGGACACAACTTGGTCAACGCTCACCAGTCCTCAGGTACCCAAACAAGAGTCTGACAGAGAGTAAAACAGCTTCTGGGCCAAAATGCAAAAATGAAACCTTCTTTTCTTTTCTTAGCATCATAAAATTCAAGTTTGTCGTTTATGGGTTAAAGTAAAACTGTTTCATTGAGTCTTAAGCTACTGGGGATTAGTGTTGCCAGGGGACTCCCCCCCCCCCCCCCCCCCCCACCCCATTATATATCTGCGTTTCAGCCGTATTTACTGCTACCAACTCCTTCTGTAACAGCAAGGCTCTCAAAAAGGACGAGCAAGCTAAAGCATGACCCCATACACTTTGCAACATGATTCAGCTTATTGCCTGTTTAGTCATGTGCTGGTGTTAACACAAAAATGTCAGAGTTAAACTATTAATCTGCTTATTTGGAGCTGTAGAAAAAGAGCTGGTCTGTTTAACAGCAAGCTGGTGGATTAAGCAGAAGTAGGGCGTTCATGAAACATGAGCTGTTGTCTATTTTTCTGTTTGCTTTTTGGCTCTAGTTCAGGGATTACACATGTCTGTGACATCCGGACAGGCCCGTGCTCCGGCACAGCCTTTTATTCTGGACTCGGTAATCTCCGCTCACCAGGATTGGCACGAGTCTGAAGAGACTCGTTCCCGATAAAGATAAAGTGCAGCAGAGACAAGCAAAGCTATTTAAAGACACCTTCCTGATGACGCTGCATGTGTGATTTATCGCAGATAAAACAAACTCTAAAAAGGTTTTTTATGTGCAGATATTCCCGTGTGAAACAACATTTTGATCTAACCCCTCATTTTGCTTCTTCCCAGTGGTTCCCAGTGCTGCCACTATTGTCATTGTGGTATGTGTCAGCTTCCTGGTGTTCATGATCATCCTGGGTGTGTTCCGTATCCGAGCTGCACACCAACGCACCATGAGAGACCAGGAGAGCGGCAAGGAGAACGAGATGGACTGGGACGACTCGGCCCTGACCATCACAGTTAACCCCATGGAGGTCAGCATTAAATATGACCTTATTCAGAGCTCGTGATATGAAACACAAACATTTACCTCCATGAAGCATCAAGAAACATCCAGAGAAGTTTCCTGATGCTTCAGAACAAAGAACATTTATCTGTAGGTTCAGAATCTTAAAGGTTTCTATTTATGTTTAAGATTTATTACTTTATGAAGCCATGTTTTGCACGAGAAAAACAATTAATTTATTATAAGTATCTGAAGACAACAAAAATGTTTTATATATTTCCCTTGTTATATTTCGTATTTTGTGAAATTTGTTATCTGACTTTTATCAGATGTTTGGAGCAAGATATATGAATGCTGCCAGATTAAGAGACTTTTGTTGTTGGGACTCTAGATATGGCCACAGCTTACAGGAACACATCTGAGATGCTTCAACACTGCACCAGTTCTGATAGGAAACACTGAGAGGGACCCTAATTGTGCCAGAACAATCTAATGAATAATACAAACCAATAACGGGATCGTCGTTAACTCTAAACTTAGCAAAAACATTCAAACCAAAACCGGAAAACCTCCCTAAAGCTGAAAGAGGGACGATTACTGATTCCTCCCTGGATTTACACAGGTGAACTTTAGAGAGAAAGTCTGTGAAGGATGAAAGATCAAAGGAGGGTAAATCTGAAAGAAGAAAAGAGAATTATTTCAGTGGTGATTTTCAGATAAAACAACCTCAGTAACTCATGAGAGGCGCAGCAGATTCAATTTCCATCAAACTGCAATAAAAGAGAAAACTGTTACCAGTCGAAACTTTTAGATATGAGGACTGTGTGTGTGTGTGTGTGTGTGTGTGTGTGTGTGTGTGTGTGTGTGTGTGTGTGTGTGTGTGTGTTATTCTCCACTCTATCCATTTCCCACCACTTACCCACAGCCGTGTCACAGAGGCAACATCCAGGAGGGAAGCCTCTTCCCCGTGACACCCGGGGGATCCCATCTGTTCCCTGGGTGTTCCCAGAGTTCTGGGACTGTCTCTGGGTCGACTCCCATGGTTCAGAAAAGGAAGAGCTTCATCTTTTGGCTCAGTTCCTTCTTTAGCCATTAGTGCCACTGAAGTTTATCACATGCCCACCATCAGTCACAAACAGGATACCTAAATATATAAACTCTACTGTAGGCAGATTAATAAACAAATACACTTTAAATCTCCCAAATATATATTTTTTGTTGAGGTTTTTGATTCTTTTTGCTCACAGCTCAGATGGGTGTTTTAAATCAGTAACTCCAGTCTAAAAATGTTCATGTTTCTAAAAAGACATATATTTGTTCTGTCTCTGTGACGCAGACGTACGAGGACCAGCACAGCAGTGAGGAGGAGGAGGAAGAGGAGGAGGAGAGCGAGGATGGGGAGGAGGAAGATGACATCACAAGCGCTGAGTCAGAGAGCAGCGAAGATGAGGAGGGCGGGGAACCGGAGGACCAGCAGGGGACCAGCAGACAGCAGCAGCTGGAGTGGGACGACTCCACCCTCACCTACTAAAAACCACACACACACGAGCTTTGATACTCTCACACACAGCCAAGTCACACTCACCGCTTTACACACCCCTCTGTGCAGTTTCATATAGGAGCCATGATGTAAAAAACAAGAAAAGAGTAAAAATTCCTCCAGCGTGTGCAGTCAAGGCTTTCCTGTTGTTATCTTAGTGGTGGTACTCCGTGTAGTGTGTTCATCACCAAATTACTGATGTTTACTTTTATTTTAATTTTAATTTATTCTACTTTAATTCCCTGGAAAACTTGGCCTACATCTGCTTTGAACTGTGTGAGGAAGCCAACCCTGCACTTTCTGTTTTCTCTCAGACGGCTTTCGGGAGGAGAATCGGTTTGTTTATTCTTTGCTTTTAGATTCATTTGCAGCTAAATTCTTTTCCAGCTTTCTTGAATCGTAGTCCTCAGTGGAGCAATTTTAACAGTTTCTCTTCATTACTTTTCCTTGTTTTAGTGCATGAGGACGCGTCGGGAAGTCTTATGTGTAGAGAAACAAATTGCTTTTTAAAATCTTGTAAATATGGGGGAAAGTTATGTAATTAATTAGTCGGTGTGTTAGTAAGGACCCACTGAATAGGGTCGGATATCTAAAAACAGACATAATGTAGAATATTTGTGTCACACAGGCTATAGCATGTTGCTGAATTTCTGCAGAAGCCGTTCCGTCATGCTTGTACATAAGTCTGCCTCGTGAGGAGAAACCCAGGACTGTTACGCGGAGGTTTCCAGGACAGAGTGGTGTCCATTTTGTCTTTTATGTTTTGAGTGAATTCTGTTTTTTGTTTATTTTTTTCTCGTAGGCAGAACCGCTTGATGGTTTTTAGTTCCAATCACGCTTCGCTTTGCTTGCTCAGGCGGCAATGCTCGACTCCTGGTGTTCATGTTTTCTTCCCAGTAGAGCTCACTGTTGTACAGAAAGGATTTTGTTTTTGTTTGATTTGGGGGGAAATCAACGTTGGGAGAAATGCTGATGTACAAATCAATTATCAAGGCTGTTGGTTTTTAAATAAAGGTACTAAAATATCTGTCAGTGTAAATGGACGAGCGTAGATCCACCCTGCAGCTTTAAAGCCCTCCTCTCTCTCTCCCGCTGAGCTGACAGGAGGAGGGAAAATAAAACTTCTGAAGGTAAATAAATCAGGCTGAGGTTCGGTGGAGCTTGGTTGAATCATGAACTTGGAATGATAATTGACAAAAATAGATTTTTTGTTCCAAACTGAGGTTTTTAACAGTTTTCCTTCTGCATTTCCTTGTTTTTCAGTGGTTAAAAATAAAGAAATGACCCAGCAGCAGGAAAACACTAAAACTGAGCCTTCCCTTAAATCTAACTCATATTTTTGCAGCTGACCACTAGATCTGATCCTACACAGAGCTCCACTGTTCCAAGGTATTCATTTAAGCAGTTTGTGTCCAACCTGTCTTCTTTCAGACGCCGTTGTCCATAACTGTTGTATATATGCTTTAAAAATAACAGCTAATGATGACTTCTGCTGTTTTAGTGTTTGACGTAGGTGTGCTGCATCGATTAGGGCCGGATTTGGGGCATTGCAGTGTGTAGAAAGTGTCATTATCAGGATTAGAGATGCTGGTTTTATTTTTGTCATATTTTCTGATTGAATTTGTCTTCAAGGGAAACTCGGAGCTTCTTTTAAAGGTTTGTGATGAAAAGGGGCCAGGTCTGAGCCAGCAGAGATGGGAGTGCCTTTTGCCTATCATCGTGTAACGGTCAGGTCTAACAGAAACACTTAACTTAGCTCTCTTTTTAGTTGTTTTTATTTGATTTCTCACGTTGCTGAGATTTTATTCCTGGGTTTGTAGCCCCGATAGTCCAACTCTAGTTTTATTGAAAGTGCAAACATTCTGCATAGGTGTCATGTGTCCTTGTTGATGTTTAGAGGAAGTAGATCCATATTGTACCTTCTATAGATATCGTACTGAATCATATTGACCCCGTTCACCTTTTAAAGATGTACAGTACATTCTGGATTGCTTTGGCAGCAGACGTAGGCATTCTGCTAACTGATCTGTGAAGGGGAGGGTGGCTTTTGAACAGTGTTCAGTCTCCTGAAACTGCTGAGAAATGGATTTGAGGGCAGCATGAAGTTCACATGATTACAGAAATCCCATTGGCTCAGAATTTCTCACACTTTCATCACTTTGTTATTAAGTCAGTTGAAGTTAAAATCCAACACATTTATTCTGGTGTCCACAGTGACTTCCCACGCCTGCAGTTTAGAGACACCTGCTCTCTGATCAGACCCTGAGCTGAATGTAAAATGGTCAGATTGACACTACAGGAAGTCAGCTTTGCATGAGCCACTGGTTTGTGTTTGATCCATGTGGGGTTGAGATTGGGATCAGAGAGGAGCTGTGTTACACCACTCATCAGTTTCACACATCCATGACACTCCAGATAGGATTATTTTTTGTTTATTTTCCTTGAAATTTTTGCTCAAAGGGACAGTGGTGATGTTTTTCAGAAAGGCTAGGAGCTTCCTTTGTGCTTTGTTGGAGCCGCTCACACTTTTCTACCAGTTCAAAGGTAAATTGTAGTGAAGTTGATGCTTTGCTCTTAAACAAAATAAAGGATAAAGAGATGGGATATAAACTCTGCCTACCCTTGTTTTTATTCATTGTGCATAAAGGATAGTACTACTAAAGGTAGAACTACACCCTGGTTCATAACTCCGAGCTGTGTCGCCCCCTGGTGGTGTTACAGAGTTAAACCAGAAAATAAATATTTTGTATTGAAATAAAAAAAATGAAAGAAAAGCAGCTAAATCCAGCCTGTGAAATAAATAGGTATTTAATGTTCAAGCTTTAATGTTCAAGGCATTATTAACCTATAATAACCAAAATTGTTAAGTATGTATAAGTAATTCTTGTTTATGAAATGTGTTTCAGTTTAGATGGGAATCAATCACAGAAAATTTAAGCAATTAGAATCAAGTAAAATACACAAGAAACCCCCTTAGTTGAAGGGTATTTTTTGTATAATGTTTGTAATGTCTCTTCCTGTTCCTATTAAATGCTTTTATTTTGTAGGGGCTATCTCCTGTTTAATAGTTGGTGCTGGCAGAAGAACCTGAAGAACGGCTTTAACAATTTAAAGATGATGTGTGTGGTGATTATTCATTTACACACACACACACACACACACACACACACACACACACACACACACACACACACACATATATATATATATATATATATATATATATATATATATATATATATATATAATCACCTAAAGGATTATTAGGAACACCAGTTCAACTTCTCCTTAATGCAATTATCTAATCAACCAATCACATGGCAGTTGCTTCAATGCATTTAGGGGTGTGGTCCTGGTCAAGACAATCTCCTGAACTCCAAACTGAATGTCAGAATGGGAAAGAAAGATGATTTAACCAATTTTGAGAGTGGCATGGTTGTTGGTGCCAGGTATTTCACAATCTGCTCAGTTACTGGGATTTACACACACAACCATTTCTAGGGTTTACAAAGAATGGTGTGAAAAGGGAAAAACATCCAGTATGCGGCAGTCCTGTGGGTGAAAACGCCTTGTTGATGCTAGGGGTCAGAGGAGAATGGGCCGACTTTGACTGAAATAACCACTCGTTACAATCGAGGAATGCAACAAAGCATTTGTGAAGCCACAACACGCACAACCTTGAGGCGGATGGGCTACAACAGCAGAAGACCCCACCGGGTACCACTCGTCTCCACTACAAATAGGAAAAAGAGGCTACAATTTGCACCAGCTCACCAAAATTGGACATTTGAAGACTGGAAAAATGTTGTCTGGTCTGATGAATCTCTATTTCTGTTGAGACATTCAAATGGTAGAGTCAGAATTTGGTGTAAACAGAATGAGAACATGGATCCAACATGCTTTGTTACCACTGTGCAGGCTGGTGGTGGTGGTGTAATGGTGTGGGGGATGTTTTCTTGGCACACTTTAGGCCCCTTAGTGCCAACTGGGCATGGTTTAAATGCCACGGGTTTCTGACCATGTCCACCCCTTCATGACCACCATGTACCCATCCTCTGATGGCTACTTCCAGCAGGATAATGCACCATGTCATAAAGCTCCAATCATTTCAAACTGGTTTCTTGAACATGACAATGAGTTCACTGTACTACAACGGCCCTCACAGTCACCAGATCTCAACCCGATAGAGCATCTTTGGGATCTGGTGGAACGGGAGCTTCAGGCCCTGGATGTGCATCCCACAAATCTCCATCAACTGAAGATGCTATCCTGTCAATATGGGCCAACATTTCTAAAGAACGCTTTCAGCACCTTGTTGAATCAAAATTAAAATTAAAGCAGTTCTGAAGGTGAAAGGGGGTCAAACACCGTATTAGTATGGTGTTCCTAATAATCCTTTAGGTGAGTGTATGTCACAGTATATATCTCATATATACATATATATGAGATATATGAGAACCCAGCATATCTTGGGTTTTTCTCTGAGTCTCCTCTTGGTGGATCATTCCTGGAAAACTTCACCGGCGAGGCGTTCAGGAGGTATCCTAACCAAATTCCAAAGCCGCCTCAACTTGGTCCTCTTGATGTGGAGGTGCAGCTGATCTACTCTGAACCTCACCCAGGTGACCAAGACTCCCACTCATTCTCTATCACAGGAGAGCCCAGACACCCTCGTTTTGATCGCTTGCATCTGCAACCTCCATCTGTTGGTCACTACTGCAATCTGTAAAATCACACCGAATCACACATCATGGTGCCTAATAAAAATCCCAGATTCATATTAACAACGTGACCTGGCAGTTCATTGTGAACCTTATTTATAAACGTATTCATCCATTCATCTTATTACTCATCTCCAGCAGTCATCCGATGAGAGGGTTAGAGTAAACGGGTCACCATCACAGAAATTTAAAAACACTTCAGACATGTTTATCCCTCAGCCTTTTAAAAACAACACAGAAACAACAAATCACAGCAGAATGCTCCATCTGATATTCGCTACCATGTTTTTACATTTACTGACTCGTATCCTTGTACCGACATTAATACTTATTAGAACAAGTAAGACATTTATAAAAACTGACAAAGACTTTGCTTCTACAGAAACTCTTAAAAGTCCACAGATTATTTACAAAATCCATAATCAATTGGCACATTTCTAAAAAAAACAAACATAATGTCTGAGAATGAACGTTCTGTAAAGCTGCTATACTTTGGTTTTCACACCAGAGCTCGCCAGAGCCATAATTTTATCTTCAGACCCTGAAAAAAAAAACAATATGGTTAATCAAAGAAAAACATGAACAAACGATTAAGATGCTTGTGCTCACCCAGGTTGGCAGTGACTTTTTCAAACTGGCTGAGAGTAGCGGTGGCATTTTCAGCGAGAAAGGTCTCTTCTTCTGGGGTGAGCTGTGGGAGAAGATGTTTACGTTAGAGCTCCTGCGTGTGACCCTGTCGGTTTCAAGCATATGTCTGTGAAAAAGCTGGGCAGTGATGCCACCTTCTCGCCCAGTTTCCTCAGTGCCATGAGGATTTCCATTTTCTGCTGCATGTGCACGTCCCTCAACAGTTTCCCCACCATCACGTCTCGGTCCATCTGCTCGGAAATTCAAACAACAGTTGGGAAAATTGCAGGCAGAGTAATACAAACAAAAAAAACACAGAGAAACCAAAAACTTTCAAGGTTACAGCAATATTTTTTTCCCCAACAGACAAGCAAGCTGATATAAACTTAAGTTTATAGTTAAGAGACAGAGGTGGCCTGTCACTGAACCTAGACAGATCCAAGGAGGAAGAAGCACCACACTCGTAAGATTGTGAAAGCCGAGGTGGAGAAATTCTACATCTTTGAATTTCTTGGAACGTACGACAAAGATCATTGCTACTGTCCTTTCTGAGAAAGTTGAAAATAAAACTTGCCAATTCGACCAAATTCCTACTAATTGCTCCAGCGGAGAGGGTGGTCACCATCTTCTTAACCGCGTGGCGCAGAAACCGCACCATGCAGGACAGGAAGACGCTCGAGCAGCTAATTAAATCTGCACAGCAGGGTCATCAGGAGGGCCCAGCCGCAGCATATTTAAAGATTAAGCTCAGAGAGCAGGAGTAAAAACACGAGGCATAAAACCCATTCCGTTTCTTCCCACAAGCTTTCACACAGCTGAATGATTAGAAAATCCAGACTGATCTCAACCCAGGCCCGTTTTGAAGGCGCCATCAGGCATGGTGCACTTTATACAGACCAAAACATTTGATTTGATTTTTCTCATTTGGCACTACACGGATAGATTTGGAGTCTTATTTCCTGATATTTGGACATCTTGCCTCGGATTGGATAACAGCAACGCAACTCTACCACTGACTTGCAACGCGGATGTTTTATCTCCACAAATAACACAAGCCTACCAAATGCTAACGGTTAGCTTCTACTATTTGGGTCTGCTGATTCCTGGACGCTAAACCAACAGCAGCCTTCCTCGCCGCGAGCCATGATGGGTGAGTCTATGAATGTTAGGGGACAGTGTGACGTAGATCTGTCAGGCTTTTCAAATCCTAGAGTTTCGCCGTGCAGGAGATAGGTGTAGGAGACTATTTTCATGTTCAGTCTGCATGGAAAATTCAGAGTGATTATAATCAGAAATAATCATTAAAAAATGTTTTTTCAGTGATTCACACCTTAAAATTAAATTGAGCTGTGAATTTGACAGCTTTGCAGCTCACAGTCTCATAAGTGCTTCTGGAATGCAAATGCAAACGAAAGTATGAATTATGAAAAGTTTGACACTTTACTGCAATATTTATGCGTTTCGGTCCAACTCTAAGATGTTTTTGAACTATTTCAGCAGTAGTTCAGGAGGTAGAGCGAGTTACCTCATGATCAATGGCTCGATTCCAGCTCCCGCCAGGGGTATTCTGCTGTTGTGTCCTTGGGCAAGACACTTCACCCAACTTGCCTGTGTTGGTGGTGGTCAGAGGGGCCAACGGCGCCAAATGGCAAACTCGCCTCTGTCAGACCTCCCCAGGGCGGCTGTGGCTACAAAGTAGCTTACCATCACCAGCAGTGTGTGAATTAGTGATGTGTCGGTCGCGAACAAACCGACTCTAAGAGCCGGCTCTTTGAAGTGAACGACGTGAGCAGGCTCGTCATTGGGAGCCATCCCCTTCCCCCTCCCCTCTTGCTTTGGTGAAAGCTACAGGAGATTGGTCAACATGTGTAACTGCGTGTCCAGACTGTCCACACAAAGAGCAGTAGGGGTGGGGAAGAGGGAGGATCAGACTCAGACATACAGCAGAGCACATGCGGGTGGAGGAAGATGAGAGGGAATGAGGAGGAGGAAAAAGGCGAGCGAGAGAGAAGAGAGTGCGACGAAGACGGTGAGAAAATGAGGGCCAGCAGTTGGAAAGTGGAGATTTCTTAAAGTGTGCAGTAAATAAATCCATATAAATGATAAATATTTGATATATTGCATTTTTTACATTAGTAAATCATTTTACATATAGTTTTGCATTATTTTGGTTATAAATGTACTCTACGCAACAGAAAATCTGAGGAGCCACTTGGGAGCCGAAAGAACCAGCTGTCTAAAAAGAGCCGGAATTCCCATCACTAGCGGGAATGTGAGAGTGCATGGAAGCATCTCTGAGTGTCCTAAAAAGCGCTATATAAGCTTGATGTATTATTATTATTATCATTAACTATTTACATGAGTTTTATCTACATTCTAAAATCTAATTTAGCCTAGACATTCTTTCCTTCTAATCGTGCAGTTATTTTGATTGACAGGTGAATTACTAACAATAACTGGCTTATAAAAATCTAACGTTGTTGGAAACAGACCGTTGCAGCCATTTGGACACTACTTTCTTTTGTACATAAGGTACATGGTAACAACAGCATCTGTTGATGATGAGGCCAAGCCATCAAAACTGCCCAGAACTGAATCTTAACTAAGGTGTGTGGATGTTAGCATTAACGCTGTGGCTGATCAAACCTCCGCAAGTCTGGTTCTTAGCTGTCCTGGCTGCTTCTTTGCAAAGAGTCGGATCACTTCGGGAGTTTTGAATGCTTGGCTGATGGCAGCCTGGATTGCCTGAGGGAAACAGAAACATCAGGTGAGAGGTGCGGTCTATAAGCGCCTGTGAAACAGAGCAGCTTCGTGTGATCAAATGCTCCTACCAGCTGCATTCCACTGAGTTCGTCCACCAGTGTCATATCTCCTGACATGATCTTCTTTAGGGTGTCGTTGAACTCACCCAGCTGCTCCAAGGTCTCCTTTTTTGTCTCCTCGTATTCTTCGTCGTCCAGGTCCTCTCTAGAGTAAACAATCCGGTGATGAGCAACGTAAACAAAGATAAAGGGACATCATTGATTTCTCCACAAGACTGCACCTGCATTCCTCCAGGTCTTGAAGCTGCTGCATCAGTCTGTCGAGCTGCTCTTCCATGTTTTGCTTCAGCTTGCTGGTTTCTGATTTCCCCCGAGAAGCCATTCTCAGTTAAAAACTGTCTCTAAACTTAGTAGACAGAAAACAGAGGTTATTACGCAGTAGTGACGGGGAGGGGTTGATTGAAAACATGAAAATGTTGCTTTTACCGCTGTTATAACAACAGTTTAATGGGTTCAAGAGAAGCACCCGCTATACGGATGTGCTGGGCGAATTTAGATCCTGATGTTTCGTTTAAACAATGAAAAGTAACGCGGAACACACAATAACAAGCTAGCAAGGCTAAACGAAAGCGTCTCACCGGGACTCCCTTTGCAAGCTGTTAAAAATGTGTAGATGAAATGTTTGGGTCGATTTGAAGAGTTGTACCATAACCACAGCAGATCAACTACAGAAAAAGACTAAATCAACAAAAGGAACGTTTGCGATTTGAGTCGGGCCGTATCACTGGAGGATTTGTGAACATAACTCGGGAGCGTTGTGGGTGCGGTTGTGGGAAACCGTTGTAGCATATATCACCCCCACTTGTTTAGACACGAGGAATAGAATAGAATAGAATAGAATAGAATAGAATAGAATAGAATAGAATAGAATAGAACATACTTTACTGATCCCACAGTAGGTAAATTCACTCGTTATAGCAGAACATAGAGAAAGGGAAGAAGAAAAAATAACAAAACTACCGGTAAATACCAAAGACAGTAAGCTATTATTGGAACAGTAATAGTATTACTCCTTGTCTAAATGAATAATTTTAACTTTATTCAATTTATTCAAGTCAAAAATGACAAATTCAAACATCCTGAATTGTCTCTTGCCAAACATAGTAGATTGGATTTTTAAATAGAAGAAAACAATGTTTATTTTTCACATTTTAAATTAAAGTTAATATCCATGACAGTGGAGCTGTTGCATGGACTGTTGTTATTGAGTTTCCCATTTTTGCATATTAGTTCAGTACGTTGTTTCTTCTTATAAGGAAAACTACGGTTAAAACACAAACAAGTACAAAGGTTAAGGCCTAATGTATTAGAAAAATCATGTCTGAGAAAACTTTAGCATTTATTGGGGAGATTTGAACTCTTTTGAAAACTGTTCAACTATTGTATGACAAAAATGCTTGCCATACACCTTCGTCTATCATCCCATCCAATCAAATTAGTCGGTTAAAGCGTACTTACGCTACGTCAATCCGTGCATGTGTCACGTGACGCTTGTTTGAAACGGATTGTTGTCGCATACTCTGGTAGTAAAAGACTCTTACGGTAATTTCACCTTACAATAGAAAATGTTACATTTTAAATCATCTTTATGCTCAGTTTAGTCTTGGTCTTACTTAAATTTCGTTTAAACATCTTAATGGTGCTTATATGTGGTTACATTTCAGCAAAGGCTCGCGGAGGTTTAAATTTCGTTTAAACATCTTAATGGTGCTTATATGTGGTTACATTTCAGCAAAGGCTCGCGGAGGTTTAAATTTCGTTTAAACATCTTAATGGTGCTTATATGTGGTTACATTTCAGCAAAGGCTCGCGGAGGTCGCTCTAAGCTTAGCTAACTATTTCTAAACCACAAAACTTGTTTATCTCTTTCTATATTCCTTTAGTATCCTTTCGTTTATTTTAATACAGTCCTGCTTGCAAAAAGCACCTTTATCATAACGCGTGGTTCAGCAGAGGGATGTTTTTATATAGTAATGCCATTTAAATTTAATTTAAACTTTGAGCTTTTCTAACGTAGACTACTTCAACTTACTTTCACTTTACAATCATTCAAGCCCTGTGTGGGTCATGGGACACTGGACTTTCACCAGATGATTAAACGTTTTCATATATTTAAATGTTAAAGTCAGTTTAAAGTCAAGTCAACTTTATCTATTTAGCACTTTACAACAGCATAAGAGCTGACCAAAGTGCTTAAGAATCCAAAACGAACAGAAGTTTCCTATAATGCTAAAAAAAAAAAGATAAAAGTTCATCAAAAAGTAAAAACATGACATAAACAAACTGACATAAAAGCTACTAAAACAGATGCATTCTCAGACTGAATTAAAAGCAGCTGAGAACAGATGAGTCTTTAAAAGTGATTTAAAACCCAACAGTGAGGAAACTGCCCTAATCTGGATTGGGAGTGCATTCCACAACCTTGGAGCTGCTACTGAGAAAGCTCTATCACCCCCGAGCTTTCTCTTCGTTTTCGGCATTTCCAGGAGAAACTGGTCGGCTGACCTCAGTGACCGAGACGGGGAGTGAGCAACTAAAAGTACACAGTGCGGAGCAAGGCCATGTACAGCTTTAAAAGCCAATAAAAGAACCTTATGCTGGACCCTAAAATCCACAGGCAGCCAGTGCAGCGAAGCTACAATTGGGGTGATGTGCTCCCGCTTTCTCGAACCCGTCAATAGGCGTGCTGCTGCATTTTGCACCATGTGAAGACGGGAGAGGTGAGACTGAGGGAGACCAAGGTACAGTGAGTTGCAATATTCAAGGCGTGATGTAATAAACGCGTGAATCACCGTCTCAAAGTCATGGATTGTACCTTAAAGTTTGTACCTTTTTTAAAGGAAATTTTTGAGTTTATGAAGAGCCTAAAGTCAAAGTTTATGTGGTTCATAATCCGCTTTTGAATCTGTTGTAGAGTGAATTCAGCTGCAGCGTCAGACATGGCGAGCTCCAATTTAACTAAAGTGGTTCTGCTGGCCTGCGGCTCCTTCAACCCCATCACCAACATGCATCTGAGGATGTTTGAACTTGCCCGAGATCACCTGGAAGACACGGGTAGGCTGAAATTAAAGTAAATTTATATGAAACACAGCTTTTGTTTATTTTATTTTCATAGCCTCCTGACTCCTGTCACAATTGGTATCAGTTCATCTGCAGAACACAAGTAATTCCCACAAGATGTCTACATGGTCATATACACACAAATTAAATGAAAACTGAAAGGGATTGATGCGTCTAGTTTATCACGTAAATGCGTTACTCAGTAGTGTCCAACCTCAAAATACTCCCACTAAGGCCTGCTCCTTGAAGGGTTCTAGTGTTGAGTGATATCTGTAATCATCTGTATTAATGTGTTAAAATCGAGCTCTGATTTTAGAATAAAACAGGTATAAATGAACGTATTGTTCATTGTTTCATGTAGGTATTTTTAGGGTATTTCATCTGATATATAAAATTTAGATTATTATTAATAATAATAATAAATAAATAATTTATAAAGCCCTTTATTGTTCCTCATTGGGGAAAGTCTGGTGCACCAGCAGCAAAGTTACACGTAAGTTGAGAAAAAAGATTCACACACACACACACACACACACACACACACACACACACACACGTTGATGATGCTGAGCTAAAATTGTAGCTTGACGGATTATTATTATTTATATGTGTAAAAGTACATCTAATAGCTGTAAGTGATGAACCAACATGATGTGATTGAAGCCTTGGGTGAATCCATTCTGACATCCTTCTGTTGTCCACTTAGGTCAGTTCACAGTGGTGAAAGGGATTATCTCCCCTGTGGGTGACGCCTACAAGAAACAGGGCTTGATTGAGGCGTCTCACCGTTTGGAGATGGCCAGACTGGCCACAGAAGACTCCCAATGGATCACAGTGGATTCCTGGGAGTGTGATCAGTCTGAGTGGATGGAGACAGCTAAAGTAGTTCAGTAAGTTTACAGATAGTCCCTGACACCTGTGCTCGTGAAGAATCGGTCTTCAGATAAGAAGTACGAACCATTATCATTCAGTCTGTTAAGTTATTTATTATTTAGCCTTTTATTATTTTCTCTTGATTCTCCTTCTCCATATTTTATCATAGTTAAATTTGCCGTCTCATACATGAATTGGGTTGACATAATAGCAAATGCACACAGATGAACAAACCGTCCTTTCTGTTGTATTTTTTTAAATCTCCAACTTGTTGCTTTACGGGATTGCATCAAACAACTGAAAAATGCCGTTAATGGGCAGGGCAGCGTAGCTGTCAGGATGAATCATTAAAGCTCTTCCCAGGCCTTTGTAATCCAAGCAAGATAATCAGGTTGGAGTCATTTTTTATGATGTGAAATGTAGGATGTAAGCGTCTCTACGTCTACATTTAGTAACTATTTCTCCTCCGGTAACTGAAATTCTGTTTATTTTATTTTGTCACACAGGCATCACCACAATAAACTGCTTGTAGCGGAGGATAACACGGACGATGTGGACTCAGTCAGTGCCGCAAAAAAGAGACGCGTTGAGGAGAAACCACTGGACAGTTCAGGTGAGCACGAGAAAAACGGTACGGCGTAAACGTCTGCATAAATTTTCCACAGCTTTCCGTAGTTTCTGAAAGACTAGCAGATGCTTTAAAGGTGTGAGGGGTCAGAGCTGAGTAATTCGTGTTGGTTAACAACCAGTGATGCAACTCACACGTGCACAGTGTGCAACGAGCTGCCTGCAAGAAGAATTCAATTCAATTTTATTTATATAGCGCCAAATCACGACAAGAGTCATCTCAAGGCATCTCACATAATAAACATTCCAATACAGGTCAGTTCATTAAGCCAATCAGAAAAACATTTCCTGTATAAGGAACCCAGCAGTGACTTGATGCAATCCTCATACTAAGCAAGCATGCAGCGACAGTGGAGAGGAAAACTCCCTTTTAACAGGAAGAAACTTCCAGAGGATCCTAGCTCAGTATAAGCAGCCGTCCACCACGACTCACTGGGGATCGAGAAGACAGAGCACACACATCCACACACACACCATATATACCAAGTAGCGTTTCTATGGTTACATTGTGATTTCTTAGTAAATATTCTATTTGGTGAGAGATAAACTTTATTGCATTTATCCTAGTGAATCTATAATTAAAAGGGTAAACTAGTAGTAGCACATCCAATGTCAGAGAGTTAATGTTATTATCAGGAGAGGCAGAATGATTAAATGGTTAGCAACAGTGTTCAAGACGATGGCCCCCTCCATGAGGCCACCACAGCTCAGCAGAACATCATTGTAGCTTCTTCTGGGGAGAAAAACAGAGAAAAAATAAAGGTAACAGTTGAAATAGCAGAAAATAATACAGTTAAAGAGCAAATTATAGAAGAAAGTAGTCGAGTGTGGAAAGTGGTCTGTGTGTCCTCCAGCAGTCTAAGCCTATAGCAGCATAACTGCAGAGATAACTCTGGAAGAAGGGAACGTGAGATTTGTGCCAGCTGTGTGACATCATGTGACTTTATCAACCCTGCATCAGATCCAGTTTGAAATAATTATGCTAGCGAGAGAAATGTGGTTTATTTCTCACATTAGAAGAACCACAATTTTGTATTTCCTTAAATTTTCCTTGTTAAAGTCTGAATGACTAATTTAATAAAAATGTTGGAAGTTTGAATTTATCCCTTCAAAAATGACTCCACAAAGAGCAGGTCCTGGTTTCTCCAGTTATCTCAGCCAGTGTGGAAAATTCCTTTTTCTCATAACCTTTGTCCTACCAGGTTCCCCTCGGCTGATGCTCCTCTGCGGGGCGGATGTCCTCGAGTCCTTTGGAATCCCCAACTTGTGGAAGTCGGAGGACATCATGGAGATCGTAGGACGTTACGGCGTGGTATGTGTCACCCGCAGTGGAACCGACCCACTAAAGTTCATCCAGCAGTGTGACGTGCTGTGGCAGTTCCGGAACAACATCCACATCGTCCACGAGTGGGTGACCAATGACATTTCAGCCACACACGTACGCCGGGAGCTGCGCCGATGTCGGAGTGTCAGGTATCTGCTGCCAGATGACGTCATCGCCTACATCCAGCAGCACAAACTGTACAGCTCTGAGAGCGAGGAGAGGAACCTCAACGAGGTTCTTGCTCCTCTGCAGAAATCCACGGGTCCGTCCACCAGCTGAGGACATTTGTGTGACAGACCCTGTTTTGTGTTAATCCGTTTAGCTTTGTTCCAGCCCTTTTGCACTGTGCCTTTTGTTTATTAGAATTAATTTAATTATTCAGAGACCCCTTCATTTGTTGATTCCCAGTAATTGGATGACCCTTTTGTTCTTTATTTCAGCCCAGATCGCTGTTTTGTTTAATAAACTTCCTTCTAAGAGTTTTAATTTGGTTTGTTTCATTCCCATACATCTTTTCTTTACTCCCTTAAATCACATCGTGCTCCTAGCGAAGCCAAGGGACGTAAAAGTTTGTACCACGTTTACACGTTTTTCTGTTGCAATAAAGAATGTTTTCTTAAATTAAATTTAAAATAAATAAACTTTTTTCTTCCACATTTTTCACCCAGAGTTGTAATCTTCTTTTTTTACACAATCTTCCTCCCAAGCCGAAATCATCATGTAGAATAAAACCTACGAGGGAAGTCGTCGTACGTATGTAGATATCAGAGGCTGATCTGATTCATAGCTAAGTGAAAGTCCTCTCAAAGGGGTTTTTCATGACGGTGACAACAGCTCAGAAAGATGAGCCTCCGGTGATGCTGACACACGGACATTTGTCAAAGGAACAACCCAGGCTGCATTTTTGCACCTGAGGCAGGAAGTTTTCATCTTTTTAACCTTTAAAGCCAGAATATTTTTGCCAGGCTGGACATCCTATGCGGTGTTGTTTACGTTAACGATGACGAATGGCTTTCGTTGACGCCCCTTTTTTTATTAAGAAAACAAGACGCTGACAAGCTAAACAAAGCTCTTCGGTGACTAAAACATGACGACATAAACGGGAGTTTTCGTTAATGAGCCAAAACTAGAGGAAAACTATGCTCAAAATGCACATTTCTGCCTGTCTCAGTAAAGTTAAAAATAACAGATTATTGTCTCTGCTCCCTGGTTCCTAATGACGGGTCACATTGCTGCTTTTTAACCCAACAGCATAACAGTTTAAGCCCATACAAACGTTTATGGGCATCTCTGCTGATGCCCAAGAGCAGAACTGGGTTATTTATATTAATTTTGTACAATTTATGAAGGAAGGATTTGTCCAGACTGAATTTTAATTATTGTAGTGTTATGTATTTCTTACAGGGAAGTATTTGTCCTGATTGAATTTTAATTGTTAAGTGTTATGTATCTCTTTCAACTTGCACCCGGGAGTGGTTTCCAAATTTCGTTGTACGAGTGTGTACAGTGACAATAAAGGATATTCTATTCTATTCTATTTTGTGAAAACTCACAACGCTGCAGTCTGGAAAAACATTACATTCAAGATGGAGGTCTGATAACTCAAATAATGAATTAAACAAACACATTTCTTTATTTCTGTATAAATATTGTGTATAACACTCTGTATCCTCCAGGGAGGCTGAGGAGAGCAGAGGAAGGTCTACTCCAAGGTACTGGAGAGGAGGGTCCGATCGATAGTTGAATCTCAGATAGAGGAGGAGCAATGTGGTTTTCGTCCTGGCCGTGGAACTGTGGACCAGCTCTATACCCTTGCAAGGGTGATGGAGGGGGCATGGGAGTTTGCCCAACCAATCCACATGTGCTTTGTGGATTTGGAGAAGGCTTATGACCGTGTCCCCAGGGGCACCCTGTGGGGGACGCTCCAGGAGTATGGGGTGGGTGGCTTTCTGTTAAGGGCCATTCAGTCCCTTTACCAGAGGAGCGTGAGTTTGGTCCGCATAGCCGGTAGTAAGTCGGACCTGTTCCCAGTGAGGGTTGGACTCTGCCAGGGCTGCCCTTTGTCACCGGTTCTGTTCATCACTTTTATGGACAGAATTTCTAGACGCAGCCGTGGTGTGGAGTGTGTCGAGTTTGGTGGCAGGAGAATCTCGTCTCTGCTTTTTGCGGATGATGTGGTCCTCCTAGCTTCATCCAGCTCTGACCTTCAGCTCTTGCTGGGTAGGTTCGCGGCCGAATGTGAAGCGGCTGGGATGAGGATCAGCACCTCCAAATCTGAGACCATGGTTCTCGACCGGAAAAGGGTGGCTTGCCACCTCCGTGTCGGGGGAGAGGTCCTACCTCAAGTGGAGGAGTTTAAGTATCTCGGGGTCTTGTTCACGAGTGAGGGTAGGAGGGATCGGGAGATCGACAGGCGGATTGGTTCGGCGTCTGCAGTGATGCGGACGCTGAGCCGATCTGTCGTGGGGAAGAGGGAGCTGAGCCAGAAAGCCAGGCTCTCGATTTACCGGTCGATCTACGTCCCAATCCTCACCTATGGTCATGAGCTTTGGGTAATGACCGAAAGAATGAGATCGCGGATACAAGCGGCCGAAATGAGTTTCCTCCGTAGGGTGGCCGGGCTCAGCCTTAGAGATAGGGTGAGGAGCTCGGACATTCGGGAGGGACTCGGAGTAGAACTGCTGCTCCTCCGGATCGAAAGGAGCCAGTTGAGGTGGTTTGGGCATCTGGCCAGGATGCCTCCTTGACGCCTCCCCGGGGAGGTGTTTCGGGCATGTCCTGCCGGCAGAAGGCCCCCGGGTCGACCCAGGACACGTTGGAGAGGTTACATCTCCAATCTGGTCCGGGAATGCCTTGGGGTCCTGCCGGAGGAGCTGGTGGACAAGGCTGGGGAGAGGACGGCCTGGAGCTCCCTAGTTGGGATGCTGCCCCCGCGACCCGGACCCGGATAAGCGGAGGAAGACGAAGACGAAGACGAAGACTCTGTATCCTTCCTTCCTAAGAGTCCAATCTGGAAGAAAATCATACATTTCTTTAGTGGAAATCTACAGACTGATGCACAGATCTGCATCAATACATTATTTACATTATTGTGATTATCAATAAAGTTAAAAAAAATGATACTAGTCTGGATATGATTGTTTTACTAAATATGGGGCAGCTGAGATTGTGCACCATAGCCATAAAATAAGTGATGTTGGTATGAAACTCACGCCAGGAGCTCAGAGTACATGTCTGACCCATAAATTAAGAGAATAATACTTTGTTTAATGTTTTGTAAAATGAAAAACAAAAATCTTTGTCGACTAAAACTAAGACTAAAATGCATTTTCGTCGTCAAGACTCAGACTAAAACTAAGATGCCCGCCAAAAACAACACTGAACCCATGCAAAGCTAAACAATTTAGCTTTGGCTCATGTCTGACTAGGTTTGCAGGCTAAGAATATTTACCACAGTTATTTATTTATTTATTTTGTACCTCTTTGCGCGTACATGTTTGTTATTTCGGAGTAGATGATTTAATGCGGCGTAGATAAAACATTTAAGCTCTGATTTTAATTAGGAAGCTAAAATGCATAGATTATTACTGCTGTTTTTTTCCTTTTCTTGCGAAACGACAAGCAGAAATCCTATCTAAGCATGCAGGTGAATGTATTTTTCCAGTTTTTATTTTAGCTCCTCCGGACAAAAAGTTTTTCAGTGAGCTATGCGGATAACCAGTCTAGCAGCGTCTTGTTTACTCCTAATGACGAGATCCTCCCGTAGCCTCACATGCACCATTCTTAAAAGCATGTCAGGTGATGACACACCCTTCCTTGTAAAATTCACACAATTTTTTTCCTGCTTATTTAAGCTCCCAACCGGTGCTGCTTTAGTCGTTGTCGATCACGGTTTGCACACATATCTTTGGAGGAGAACATCAGAGATCAGAATGCCCACCAGTTTCTGTGGTACATGGGACATAATCAGCAATGTCAACTTTGAAGGATACATGATAGCACTTGGTGAGTACTTTGTACTTTGCAAAATCTGTGTAATAAAACGGAATCCCACAGACAGGAATATAGTTGCAGAAGCTTTGCTTTAAAGTTTGTTTTCTGCTCAACTGAGAAGTGTTTCTCCACAACTCCAGGGATCAAGACCCCCTTGCGTAAGATTGCTTTGAAGCTGAAGCAGAGGAAGGTGATCGAGCAGCAGGGAGACCTGTACATTATTAAAACCATCAGCAGCTTCAGAAACTACACCATCTCCTTCAAAATTGACCAGATGTTTGAGGAGTATACAAAGGGGTTGGATGAAAGGGTGGTCAAGGTGAGGAGGAAAAGCAAATTGTGTAATAAATGTAAATGTTTTATATAAATGCCCATGTATGTCGCCACCAACATTGAGTGTTTAATCTCTGTTCTTTCCCTGTCTGCTATCTGTGCAGTCAGTGGTGTCGTGGCAGGGGAATAAACTGGTGTGTGAACAGATTGGAGAGAAGAGGAACCGGGGCTGGGCTCACTGGATGGAAGGCGACAAGCTCCATTTGGTAAGAATGGCAGTTTTAAATTGTATGTATTTTTTTAAATAACTCTATGAAAGTGCATTCAGTAGATATCTTTGTGATGTGTTCCCTCAGGAGTTGTACTGTGAAGGAGAAGTCTGCAAGCAAGTGTTTAAAAGAGCATGAACCAGTGAAGAGGATTGAGAATTTTTTTTAAAGTCTTAATGGGAGGATGGGGTTTAGAGTCACACTAATGCTGTTAACCCAGAAGAAGAAACCCACAGAAAAACTCTGAGTCTCCTCAGGCCAGGAGAAAATCATTGTCTATTAGGGTTTGAATTTTCGCCACTAGGTGGCAGTACTGCGTCATGTATCACCGAATACTGCAGCCTGGTGGCGCTGGCTTTAAATTTTAAGAATAATAATAAAAAAATGTTTTAGCTGGCTGAAAACAGAGTCATTCTCTTTTGGAGTCCCTTTCAATTCATTGTCTGTGAAGATAGAATAATATACATCCCGCATGATGAAGTTGCAAGGAGCATTATTTTTCTCAGTTATCTTTTTTTCTACCATGCTGAATATTTCGAATGCATTTGATACTTGGATTTTTTAAATAAAATGGACTTGAAATAAATCTTGAGTCAGTCATTACTTTTATTTTGTTATCCACAACAATAATTTGATAGAAATACGGGATAAATAAAATGTATGAGATTTTTAAAATGTATAATAAAATAGTAGAATTATGTTACTTTGTTCTGGATCTGAAACTTTCTGAAAAAATGGCCAAAATTAGCATTATTTGCATATATTTTAGGCATTTGGGCGTTCTCTATCTAATTCTCAAAGCATTGCATGGAAAAGGTGTTCATTCTAGATTCTATGGTGTGTTTTTCTTTTTAAAACGAATAAAACATTTTTTTCACTTAATTACTTCTGCTCCAGGTTAGCTCTGTGTTAAATGTATTTAATTAATTAGCGTTTTTCATTTGTTTTTTGAGTACATTTCAGGTCCGTGGTGTGAAATTTATGATAATGTAGAGGCGGGAAGTATTAAATAATTTAAGTATTTGGTGTTTATGTCACATGTCAGATTCCTACGTTTAACTCTAATACTTATTTTAATCTACGTAATGACGTTGACGCCGCACACTTTTTGTAGACCCCAAAGTCACGTGATGCAGAGTGGAACCAAAATGGCCGCTGTTGTATTTTGACGTATATAAGCTAGCTACTTTTCTTTTTGTTTGATTCTTGGTATAACAAGGAAAACTACCAAACGGGAGACGGTTTGGAGGATCTGTATCTTGCCATTATTCATACATCGGTGTCCTAGTTTTTATCTTAAGGACAATCAAGACTGACCGTTATTCGTTCAACGTGTTAAACTATGCATATTCTGGCTGACACACAGAAGCAACTGAAAGTGAAATAGCTAGCTTTAGCTGCGGTGATGGAGGAGTTAAGCGCAGATGAGGTAAGGTGACAATGGAAGAATGCACAAAATAAGTGCTAAACATAGCTTAACTTTTCTGACTTCATCGTTTTCCATTTGAAAACGTATTTCCCAGAGCTTTCCGGAGTCTTACAAGCTGAATTGCTACACGCGGTAGCAGAGACGTTTGCCTCGTAGATAGGGAAAAATTTGTTAGCGACAACATCCTACAGTTGTCGACTCAACTCTAAAGCATATATGTACGAGTGAGGTCAGATTGATCCATACATTTAAAATCCAAAGGAATCAAATCAGTTAACAAGTGAATGATGATAAAATCAGGCCAGGGTCTTTCAATTTCTGTTGTCGCTGACTGTCATTTAGCTGTACACTGTATGCTAACAGGCTAATGTTAGGACAAAGTCGGTGTAGCTGCTGGATAACATGTTTTTTGCTGCGGGTGTACATCTAAATTACATTTAGAATGTGGTAATTCTGACAAACGTGATGTCAAAGGACAGATTGTCCCTGCGGTGTAATTTGTGACTGTAGCTAAGGTTGTATTATCAACAAATCAGTCCTCGAAACGACTCAGCATTAAAACAGTCGAGCGTATAGCCACCAAGCTGTTCCCCTTCATCCTCGAAACATTGTTGTCGCTTTTAGTCATGAAATTAGTTTCGTACGAAGTATATTTATTAAAGCTGTTTAGCCTTTAGATCAAGTATTATTGGTATGGCGTTTCACACGCTGAACTAGTTAACTAAGCTAAATAAGTTGTTTATACACGCCGAAGATTGCATAATAAGGAAGGCAGTAAGCCAAGCCATCACAAGCTGCTACTTGAACATACCCTGAACGTTATGAGAAACAGAGTAGAGTATTCATGGTAACATTACGCAGACTGACAGGCAGTGAAATATAGGAAATATCCTATTTTTTATAAAGCTAAAATAGAGAAACATTTATGGGGAATGTAGAAATCTAATCTTGTTTAAACAATAGATCCAAACTACATTTTAGGACAATCTGCTTAAATTTTTTTTAACATTCTTTATGTTCTGACATGTTAGAAAGTCGAGTTTAGTTTTAAAGAAAGAGAGAGAATATTGCAGGGATAGCAAGCTGCAAATACATTTTTGTGATTCCTAAATATTCAGTACAAATGTCAGCTTAATCGGTCCAAATATGAGCAAGTTGTTAAAGTTAAAGCAAGTTGATAATGATACATGATTGCATATCACAGTATGATACATTATTTAATTAAGTAATTATTTATATTAACATCCAGTCATTTAAGCTAATCAATAACTAGCCGATAAACTTTTCGGTAGTTTGGACCGTACTTATACCCGTGCGTGGTGTTTTGACTGAATATTCAAATTTGCTTGTATACGTTTAAGATTCGCAGAAGGCGACTGGCACGACTGGCGGGAGGACAGACATCGCAGCCCAGCACCCCTCTTAGCACACCCCTAACATCCCCTCAGAGAGAGACTCCCCCTGGACCCCTCCCAGGACCCTCAGGTGTTGCACCCCAACCTGTACCATTAGCTGCCTCTCAATCATTGGGGCTCAATGTCCACAGTGGCACTCCTGCCACTTCCCCCATGGGCACCTCTGGTAAGAAATCAAGGTCTACTGGTTGTTAGCTTTAAACACAAGAAGCATTCTTTGTGACCTAGATATTTGCATTGTAATTAAAAGACTCCGAATGAAATCATCAGACTTGTTATGATCACCAGTTTGAGTTAATGTGCAGGTCAGAAATCTAGCTTTCATCTATACACACTGCACCAGCGAGCCACGGCTCATTGCATGGCCGTTTCCTGGCATTGTTTGTCGATATTCATAGTTGTGCTTGTTGCTATTTTAACTAGCCTATGGAAGCCTGTAGGAAGTGTCACTATAACTTACTTTTCTTCTGAGGTGAACCCACAATAAATGTTATTTTTTCTTAGTATATATTTCTAATTTCATGTGATTTAACTTCATCTCTTATCCAAACATGTTTTGACTTAATCCTTGCTATGCCTCTTTCTTTAGTCCAAACCTGTGCAAACACTGAACACGATTTATTTTGGGATTTAAAGTAAACAACAAAAGGAAATAAAAACTTAAGCTACAATCTTTAATCTATCTTTGAAGAGGCTGTGTGTTTAAACAGTGAAACTGTATTTTTAAGGATAAAAACCTATTGACGACTTTGTTCCTGCCATCTGGTTTGTCTCTATTGTTGGGACTCTGACCTCACATTCGTCTAGTGTTACAAACAACAAACGGAAACACACTTAAAACCTGTTTACAGTGTAACCTTAAGCCAGATCAAGACTGTAATGGTTATTCCAGAACCATGATAAAGCCCTCATTTCAATCAAGAACGTGCATCTTTTGTGTTTTTGAGGCATTTAGAATAATTAGTGTTTTTGCAGGGGTGGCATATGGCAGTCAGAGCAGCGAAGGTGTGAGCTCCCTCTCCAGCTCCCCCTCAAACAGCCTCGAGACGCAATCCCAGAATTTGTCCCGATCACAGAGCATGGACATTGACCCTGCCTCCTGTGAAAAGAGGTAAACTTTTCTAATGACCTCTTACATCATCTTGTTTAGGGTTAACTGAGACTTTTCCTCTGTAGGCTTCAAAGGCTGATATGAAAATATGTAGTTTCCTCCATCTCACAACAAAGCCTGTTGTCAGACTTGAGTTTGTCGTGTTGATCTCCTGATTTGTTGTAAAAGAGGTGAAACAAATCCAACATTTGCATCTTGGAGATGCAGAGAGCTGTAAAGCGCTTTGATCTCCTCTGTTCTTCAGCATGTCCCAGGTGGATGTAGACTCAGGGATCGAGAACATGGAGGTGGACGACAGTGACCGCAGGGAGAAGAGGAACTTAACTGAAAAGGTAAACAGCGTTTGGATTGAGCTTTAATTAGAGTTTTTTCTTTGGTATAATTCTTTGAAACGTACAAACACCTCAAGCTGGATTCCAAAAGTTTTTGCTTTATTTTGTAGGAAATGTCTGCTAACTCCGACATCTCCGAGGAACAGGCTTTGCAGCTTATTTGTAAGATCCTTCGCGTTTCGTGGAAGGAGCAGGATAGAGACGTCATCTTTCTCCCTTTGCTGGCTGCAGAGTTTCAACGGAACCCTAAAGATGGTATTTCATTCAACTGTATAGTTTGCCTTGATTAAAACGACTGATAACAAATGATTTCACATGCTTGTTATTTATTTTCTTCTGCAGTGTACTCTGACTTCAAAGACCTCATCAGCCAGATTCTGGTTGAAGTCCTAATGATGTCATCCCAGTCAAATGTCCACAACCCGTTCGCCAGCTTGACCGCCACCTCGCAGCCAATAGCCACAGCGAAATCCCCCGACCATCGTCTGACACTGGTGCAGCTCTCGAGCCAAGGTGGCAGCCCGATGGGCCCCAGCGCGGGGTCTTTTGGAGCCAGCTCTCTGTCCAGGCACGTGTTTTCGTTATCTACTCTGAGGGTTTAATTTCTGCTGGTCTCCTGTGACCTTTGTTTAATGTTTTCTTAATGATGTCGTGGCTGGAAGCTCCTCTGCGTGTCTGCATGAGCGTGCATTCATCATACCTGTCAAAGTGTCATCAGATCAGTTTTGATCCTCTTGTTAATGTTATCCACAGCCTATATGGGTGTGGTAGTCCTCATCCAGTGGCTTTGGATGCAGCCAGCAGGACTTGCCCATCTCTCTCCACCCCCGCTTCATCCACTGTGCCTTCAACACCGTGTCCTCCACAGTTCATTGTTCCCCCCAGCCCCCCCACTACTGTTACTCCCAGACACTCCCTCAATCCCCCATCTGCTCCCGTGCCCATCTCCCAGCGGTATCGACCCTACTCTGTCACCACATCCTGGGGAGCTTCTTCCCCTATGAGCCCAGGTCAGAGAGGATTTAGTTTCCCTGGACCTTCACCCAGCCCAGCTGGGCCCTCTGTTCCTCCCAACACCCCAGTTCCTGCTGCACCACTCAGCCCCCAGTCTCTCTCCATGAGCTCACTAAGAGCTCCCTTCTATCCTGCTTCCACAACCACTTCTGTGGTTCCATCTTCTCCCAGAATGAATGCTCGACCGGCTGCCTTTGGTACCAGGATTCCACCCTCTAGGTATCTCATCTGTTGTTTGCATGTCAGTGTGGAGAGCAAACATCAACCTAAGCGTTTTTTGAATCAGTAAATTTAGAGTTTATTGTGATATGTCAGCAATTTGGCCAAATTCTTTTCTTTTACTTTTTTAAACATTTTAGCTGGAAAAGGTCAGACAGGGTTTTCACTTTTACTCCTATGTTAATTTTCCATATTTGCATATTCTTTGTTTTTCTTTGGATCCTAAACCGCCCAGTCTTTTCTTAAATTCTGTCTGTCACTCCCTTCTTTATTTTCCCTCCGTTAGCCCCTTGTCGTTCCTGTTTTTTGCCCTTTCTGACATGTCTCAAGACAGCAGTGATGAAGATTCTGAGGAGGAGGAGGATTTTTCACAGGTTCAGTTTGGTTCCAGGTACACCCTTGCACGGTGTGTGTTAATGTGTTTGTGCGCTTGCTCAGGTTTGGACCCACTGCATGTTTTCAGTGCGTCCTGCAGGCTTGGCTCTATCGGTGAAGAAATATGCCAGGTTAGATCCGACAGAGGCACTCATGATGACGTTTTGCTGTTTGGCTTATTGTCTTTTAACTGTTTTGTCATCAGGAAAGTGTTGAAAAGTAGGAAAGATGCTGCTGTTATGGGTTACATGTTCATGCAAATGATGGAGATACAAATCAAACATCAAAGGAGCATAAAGCGTCAGGATAATCTCACCAGAATGCCTGTTTTGATTTTCTACAATAAAAAGAATCATTGAACTCTTTAGTTCTGAAGTCAAAAGGTTTAATTTCAGTTTTTGCTCAACTTGTTTTAGGAAAAACCTCCATTAATAAAACTATTATTTAACTATCCAACACGTTTTATTATTTTTAAATATTTCATTTATCAGAACAACTCCAGGGCATTTGTTATAATGCCTGCTAGGTTTTTATTGTTTTTGAAGCTACAGCTGCTTATTAACACTAATTTACTTCCACATTGCTCAGGAGTTTGTGTAAAGTTATAATTAACCTGTAAATGTTTTCTGCAAACATAAAAATGAAGCCTTTACTAAACATTTGTCTTTGTTTTGAAGGTTTTGCTGCTGATCCTTGCATTGCAGCACTATTTAAAGCAATTATTTTCTTTCAGGACCCTAAAACTTTGAGCTCTGAGCTCATTAACTAATAAATATTTAATGTTAACAGGAGTTTTCTTCATGCAGCAGCCCCTTGTGTCATTAGTCAACCCTCTGTGTCTTTCTGCTTTTGCTTTCATGTTTGCAGTCTGGGTGCATGTGGAGGGGGGATGTCGAGCGATTCAGCCAGCGACCGCTTCACCATCGAAGCGTGCAAAGAGACGGAGATGCTGAACTACCTCATTGAGCGTTTTGACAGCGTTGGCATGG